CAAATTAATTTCAATTCTAGTTGCATATATATCAAATGTATAAAAGAATGAAATATATAGTATTACTTCTTGGCAACCAGATTTATATGCATGTCAAGCAAAAACATAGCGCGTGAAAACAGTATGGTCCTAACAGGAGCACAATTGTGACTACTGCCGCTCATGGGAAAGCAATCCATGACGCATTTTAGTGCTTCTTTCAATCTTTGGGAAGGATCCCGATTTCTGGATCTGCTTAAACGTTTTACATCAGTTCTTAGCTCAAGTGTGGATTCATCCTTCCAGAACAAAATTGCCAAAGAAACTGACCTCCACCACCCACAAACGAACCAGGTTGCTGATATCAAATCTTCTCGCGTTAGCTGTTTAAATATTTTTAGTAAAAGGTTACCTTCCAAATCTCCCCAACCCGTAGCAGATTCTATCATATTCTCATCAATTGACTGCATGCTCCTGTTTGTGGGCAGGATATCCAAAGTTCAGATATAAAAAAATAATCAAGCATGTATATTGATCTTATAACTTAAAAGAGTATTTAGTCACGATCTTAAGTAATTGATTAACCTTGGATTGAAGATTCAAAGCATTGCAATCGCTAAACAAACAAACAAACTCATTTTATCTAAAGGATAAAATATCTGAATAATTAATAAGGAAGAAGTAGATGAAATACCTTAATCATAGAGATTCAACAAGAAGATTGACTATGAATTAGGGTTTGCGAAGAGGAGGCCACCTACCAACCTTGGCTTCGTGTTGTTTTCTTTGAAAAAATTAGTTAGAATTAGAACTAGAATTGGAATTAGAATTGGAATTAGAATTAGAATTAGGGGAGCTCCTTGGGTCTATCCATTCCACGAAATGTTAGGATGAAGTTGTTTTAGGTTCAATTGGTTTACAATTTAAATTGTACAACTAAGTCAATGCCCAATCCTATCCATGAAAGCCCAATCCTATGTGGATAGCAGCCGCTATTGCTGCTCAAATGGGCGCCATATACTGTAGGTCTGTGGGGCGCTATGATATCGCTGCTACAGTACCATAATGGGTGCTATTGACAACATTATGGAAAAATCAGATAAAAATTATAGATATTGAAAAATTGGTAGAAGATTGTGCAAAAAATTGTAAAATCGTGAGATTGTGTGACTTGAAATGATTTTAAAAGGTAAATTCATTTGGGTTTATAAATGGTAATTAATAATTTTTTAATTAATAAAATAAAAAAATTCTTAATTTATAAAAAAATTTTCAAAATTAAAAATTCAAAGGTCAACCAACCTATTTGCCTTCTTTATAACATGGGTCAACCTTTAAATATTAAAATTAGTATCTAAGTTTGCTGTTCTTCCCCGGTGACGGCAGGCAGTAACAAGTAACAACATCAATATCATGTTGCCGCTAGTTTTGCATTGCTATGGAACTGGAACGCCGTGCAGAAGAACACCGGGTTGGCGCGTTGCGGTAAGAGCTGCCGGCTCCGGTGGGCTAACCATTTTCGTCCCAACCTTAAGAAAGGCGCTTTCTCACCGGAGGAGGAAAGGATCATCGTCGAGCTCCACGCCAAGCTTGGCTACAAGTTGGCACGCATGGCCACTCAGGTTCGCCAATGTCACTTCCTTCAAAACTCATTGTTTTACGTAAATTCTCTGATTCTGATTCTCCCTTTCATCCCTGTTTCCATTTTCTCTGCATTTTCTTTGGCATTTAATGATTATAAAATTATGCATTTTATTCTGAATCAGAATTTTCTTAATTTAATCAAATGATTTTCATATTATTAATTAATCACTTTGATATTATTAGTTTCTTCTGAATTTTTTCGTTGTTGTTTTTCTACATTTAACTAAATTAAAACTCGGGAAAATTATTATTTTTAGTATTTTTGCTTAAAAATCTCAACTCAAGCCGATTTTTCCTGCTATGAAAACGGTATGTTTGTTTTTTAAATTGATTTTCTAAAAAATGGAGAAAACATTTTCTGAATTTAAAAGCTTGAATTCAAAATTTTTAATTGCTCTGTTCTATTATTTTGTGAAAAAAATGTTAAGCATTTTTTTTTTTTAATTAATACAGTTTCCCGGAAGAACTGATAACGAAATAAAAAATTTCTGGAACACCAGAGTGAAGCGGCGGCAGCGCCAAGGCCTCCCCCTTTATCTTCCGGACATCCAAGCCGTCAACCACCACCAGTTGTCGTTGCCACCGCAGAACCAACATTTTACCCATTACCAAACACATTCGGAGCCCGCTACACCCATCTCCTCCGCCCCAACTACACCCGTCGCTTTCTCCTTCCAAATAACGCCGACCCTTGACGTCCCCGTCACCCCAACGCCGCCATCTCTCCACAGCCCACACTGCACAACTCCGACCACTCTCAACAGCCCGCACCACACAACCACCCCTATGCTTCTCAGCCCAACTCCACCGAACGCCTCTCCGCTCCCCTTCCCGCACACCCCTGTCTACCCAACTCTCCCTCTCTTCGATTCCTCCGCCTCCGCATCCAACCCTTCCACCTCCACCACTAATTCCAGCTTCTTCTCACCCAGAACCCCGCCTTTCCTCCAGACTCCTCCTCGATTCAAGCGGCTTCACCGTCAACTCGACTGCGAGAATAGCAACAACAATAGCTTTAATTTTAACCCTGGCAATACTACCGCCACCAGCGGCTCAACCACCTCCAGCTTTGCCTTCCCCTTTTCGCCTTTGTTGAGAAGCTCTCCTTTTGGACATACCACTGCTGCCACTTCAATGCCCATCTCCACATACTATCCTTCCTTTGCCTCGAAACCATTTTGTTTCAATCCATCTACATCATTAAGAACAGTTGGTTCCCATTTGGATTTGGGACAACTTGCCTCTATTCCCCACTATGTTTATCCGTTGAGAACGGAGCTCCCTTCAAGCCAATTTTTGTTTCAAGACAGTAATCCGGAGATTACATTCAGTTATAGGGTAAACGATGGCAATGGTGGTGACATTAACAGCACTAACGAGTATCAAAATTTGGGCGAGTCCAGTGGTGGAAGCGGATTGTTAGAGGATTTGTTGGAGGAGGCTCAAGCAATGGGAGGCAGCAGCGATGGTTTTGGGAGGCAGACTTGCTTCAGTTCGCAAGAGGAGAAGCAAGTCCTGGATGGGTTCAGCCCTTGGGGAGATTCAAGCTCTGTGGGTAATCTGTTCACATTTTCTTAAAATGAAGGTGCATTGATTCATTAATTATATTAGCAATTCTTCATGTGTTCTCGTGAATTAGATACATACAATGATCTTGCCTCAAATTAAATGCATGAAAGTTTGAAACTTGAGCATAATCTAGCATTGAAATCATGAATCATACACTGCATACAAGCAAATGAATGGAATAAACTTATCAACAAGCAATATTTTTCCTTCTGTAATTTAGTAACTCTTAACATCCTAGTCCTAGTATGGACATTGAGCCTTTTCATTGTCAACCTTTTTTTTAGCATTTTTTTAGATATTAAGACTTTATTGCTAGAGTATAAATGTGGCTACACTTGTTTCCATCCTTTTAGAGTTTTGCCTTAAGAACCATTAATTAATGCTGAGATCTTTTTTTGGGTTGATATCAACATTTCCTAAATATAGATCTTGGTAAGGGGACAATCTTTTTTACATTGACAAAGAAATCGAGGAGTCCTTGATGTGTAGTTGTTCTGATTTGAACTATTAAATACCCCTTTGCTTCATCTTAATGCTTCTTCCTTTTGATAATGTATAGTATTGAGACCAAAGGAAGAAACCGCAGACCAGATGCAAACTGCACATGAAGACTTGTCACAGCGGCACAATGTTATCCCTTCTCCCATGCAAGTTCATGAGTGGTACACTGGGGATGGTAGGGAGGCCTCTAACGGGCAATCTTCCGTAGTGACGGACGATAATCTTGGGCTCGATATGCATCAATTAGCATCTCTATGTCCCATGGACACCACAGTTGACCATTGAAGGGTCCTAAGCTAGGACAACTTCCCTGGAATTCATTGACATGCACAACTCATGTAAACAGAAAAGGTGGATGAGTTTTACATTTTGTTCTGTCTTTGCTGATATATATGATATTTTTTTGTATTTGGTTTGATTGTATATTCTGTAATAAAGATAATAAAATAAGAATCCTGATGAGAGCACGTTATTCTTGTCCAAAATGATTATGACGTTTTTTGTTTTACGATCTTAAGAACGTATTCTTATATTAACTTAATGTATTTAAAAAAATTAATTTTTTTAAGTGACTTGAATCCAAGATCTAACCTATAAAGCGATATCCACTTACTAATGAATCCAACTGATAGTTTTCTGTGATATCCTTGCTCCAAAATGCATCTTGACGTACAAGAAGAAGCAGAAGCCAACAAGAGCCATAGTGCAAGTACTGGGCCTGGGTGAATTAGCATATCTTCGACTTCACGGATGAGACTTGAGAGGGGATGTGGATATTAAGATTGGGCTTTTCTTCGGCCCTATAAGAGAATCCGCTCTGCGGGTTGAAATTTAAAAAAAATAAAATAGAATAAAATAATCGAAACGTCACTTCCACTCTCCACTCTCCTCACCTTCCCGCTCTCATTTCCTTTCACCCTTTCGCTGTTCCTGCATTCGGCGTTGGTGGGAGGGCTGGACGGCACCGGTTGAGGCTCTAGTTACGGTCCAGCCGCGCCGATCCAACTTTGGGGCCAAGAAATTTGGAAAGCGCTCTTTTTTCACGACGCGTTTTTAGCCGGATCCTGCGCCGTCGCTCTTTGGATTGACGCTCCCATGGTGGCGAACGGTGCCTCGAGGACAGATCCGGCACTGTGACGAGTAGGATCGGTCTCCTACGGCGTCGACCGGTGCCTGGAGAAAAGATCCTGTCTCCTTGACGTGCTTATCACTTTAGGCTCCGATTGACTCTTCCATGATGACTACCGTTGAACTGGAAAATAGATCCGGCGTCGTGCGAAATCTGATACAAATAGAGCACCGAAGTGGCGCTATGTTTCCTACTAGTACACAGCGGCCGTCATTGTTCTACTGGCCAACCGTTGTTTCTACGAGGCAGTGGCCGTACCGTCGTACCTTGGATCCGCGGCATCCGTCCTTGTGAATTTTAAAGGGAGGGCATGCACTCAGAATTCAAACCACAATGAGGCGTTTTGGAGGTTCTGGCACCTAGGTAGAGTTCATACGGAGAGTTAATTCATTAATCTTTATATTTTTCTTTTATGCTTTCAAAGAGGCAAGATTCTATCTCTTTCGCACATGTTTGGGAACTACTTTAGTTAAAAGAATATCATTCTCTATACTATGAGAAGAAATTGATGGCCTCTTAGTGACTAAAGCATGAACATGTATATTTAAAGTGTGTTTAACCATTGATATTTGTGGAATTATGGGTTTAAGAGTTATATTTTTCTACAAATAATTTCATAAATGTTTATTCTATACATGTTGTGCCAATTTTTTATGATTGAAGAGTTGATAATTAAATGGAGAGAATTAGAAGAAAAGAAGTTAAATGCAAAGAACCAGAAAGATGATTGTCCAAGGATTAAATTTAGAAGTTTAAAAACTCAAAGTGGGATTTTCTCCATTTTTGATTAAGATGTAAGTTTGTGAAGTTGACGTGTGAATGAGGTGTTGGAACTGTTTTCAAGTTCCAACCCTTGGCCTAAGGAAAAGGATAGACAGTAGCATGAGGGTTTCCGCACTCTGTGATTAGGATCCAATCCCTGGTTAGTTATGCACAAGATAGAAACATGCAGGGTTTGAGATTTCAACCCTGTCTAACAAGATTGTGCAGGCAGAAAGAAGAAAATAAAATTACTTCCCCAGGGCTGCTATTTTAGTTAGGAGCCTTTAAAACTAGGTTTAGTATCGAGAGAAGTTATTCTTAGGCACATATTTAATTCTTTTCTAGTGCTAAAGAATTATGTTAAGGTAGGCTAGGGAGGATCTTAATTGAGGAGTTTAACTTGTTATTTTACTGCTTACCATCCACAGGCTAATGGGTAAGCTGAGTTAGCCAATAGGGAGTTAAAACAAATTTAGGAGAAAATGATAAACCCAAATTGTAAAGATTGGTCTTTACGCCTTTTGGATGCACTTTGGGTTTATCGCACTGCCTATAAAACTATTCTTGAGATGTCTCCATACCGGATTGTATATGGAAAAGCATGTGGAGCTTGAACATAAAGCTTATTGGGCTATTGGACTACTAAAGCACTTAATTTTGGTTTGAATGTTGCAGGTACCCGAAGGAAGTTACAAATATCAGAGATAGAAGAGTTGAGGAACAATGCATATGATAACTCTAGTATCTGCAAGACTAAATTGAAAGCAGCTCATGACAAGCAGATCCTAAGAAAGAACTTTGAGCCAAATCAAAAAGTGCATCTTTATGATTCTCATTTACATCTCCATCCAAGAAAGCTAAGATCTAGATGGACAGGTCCATTTGTGGTGAAACGAGTTTTTCTTAATGTTGCAGTTGAGATTGAGGATCCAATCGATGGGAGAATTTTTTGAGTTAATGGAATATGGTTGAAGTAGTATGTGGAGGGAGTAGACCAACCCGAGGAAATCGTTCTTGTGACTCCAATCTATGATACTTAATCAGGTTCTATCTTTCCATAATATCATTTTTTTTCTTTCTTTTCTTTTATTTGTTTTTGCTTTTATTTAGTAGCTTATCTTTTATTAGGTTAGGTTTCTAGGTTTCTTTCCATAGCTATTACTATTGTAGGTTTACTTTTATTTCTTTTATTCTATGCCAGTGAGGACACTGTCTCATTTAGGTTG